ATGTGTCATCAAAGATCAGTCGGTATAGAAACGGGCCACGAGCTACAAAGCTGGGATTCGATTCCCGGCAGGTGGAATCTGTTCCACAGATTTCAGACAGACCCTGTAGGCCACCCAGCCTCCTGTCCAATGGGTACCGGGGGCTCTTCCCCAGGGGCAAAAGCGGCCATGCGTGAAGCTCCATCCAGTGCTAGGTGGATACATAACTCCACTCCCTCATTAAGTTCTCACGACATGGCTCTTAGTTAATTAAGCACAGGAACAACTTTACCTTGCCTTTTACTCTTTCAATATGTTTGCGGATATATCGCTGCGCGCTGTGTCCATACTTACGTGTATTCCGGCAATGTAACATAACATTTGATTCCAATATTTCTAAATCCTTATTAAACACCAGAAATAGACCTACATGAGGATCAACCTACTGAATTACCTTCACTTTCCCCAGGACAATATGTAATACTATCAGACATCAGTGTCCTGAGCAGACCTCGAATCCGTGACCTCAGAGTGCAGGATAGGAGCTTCTCCCAGCGGTGGTTACGAAGAGTTCTATCTTCAGGGATATAACGCCATGTAGTCTCTTGAAAGTCAACCGATGTTTCGGAGGACATTTTCGGTTCAATGTTCAGGATTAAAGAGTAAGCGAAGCAAGAAACGAACACGAAGAAAGTAGCTAGAAAAGGGGTTCAAGGGTGAGTTAAAAAAAATTAGCACAGAGTAGGCCGAAAACAAAGCTTCGCTTATTGCCTGCTTCATGCTGATATTTTGCTTGGCATAGTACTCAATCACGAAGATGTAGGCAACTTGTTCCTCCGAAACCTCGGCTGGCTTTCGACATTCTACACGGTGTTGTACCCCGGGAGATAGAAATCTTCTGTGACCTTAGTGTTTACACAGCCTGTGACCGTGGGAAACCTAAGCTGCTTGTCTACCACTGCGAGTGAGAAATGCCATGGAGTCGTGAGCTCTTCTTTAAGTATGCCGTATATTACGTATAAGCCTATTTTATCCATGGTTTTATTTACATTGAAATAATACAAACATTAGGCTCTCGACAACAGATGTAATTTACATAGAAATAAACACTATTTTTGTCCACATATCATAGATTGTATGTATCACTGAAACCTAGATAAAGGGCTCACTGATACAATTGTTATTAAGCCTATTAACAATATTTTGACGAGTTTACACTTTGTTATGTGATATAACAAACTCACTATAATCGTATTTATTAAATTTCTAATTTCTTGCTCTCAAAAATATTATCACATTTATAAAAACACGAAAAATATAATGTATCCATATAACAAATATATACATACATAAATTTTTACAAATAGTGAGATATTTCATTTGAGCTCGCGTTGTTCTAAGATATCATATTCATGTGGATTTCAAATCAAAATCAAGTGCAGTTTTGTATTACCCCTGATGCAAGGCTCTCTACAGCTCATTACCTCCTATTCAAATTGCAATATTATTACTGAAATCGTGCTATGTTCATGTATACGACACATAAGATTTCGATAACATGTTTTCGATGTTGGAGACCATAAACATACACAAAATATTGAGAGCATGTTAGCAACTTTTTGTAGTTGTACATTATAATTATGCGACTGTTCAAAATTGCACAGAAAATAAGAAAGAAAATTAGAGAGAACTTTCTCCAATAATGTAACACTGAATTGTGCGTCTAACTAAAACGTCTTTCTAGAAGTTACTAATCTTACTTGAGGTTTGTCGATAAAATGTGATCTATGGTTTGTAATATAGGCCTATGTGAAAAGTCATTTATAGCCGTAAAAAACGCGGTCTCTATTGTGGGTCTACATGGCTCTATATCGGAATTGTCCTACGGATTTTATTGCAAGTCATTCGAATTAAAAAGAAATGTTGGACGGTGTATGCCGTAATTCTAGGTTACACAGAAGCACACGGACGGACAGACATGTTTTTCGACAAAATTCTAAGGTTCACTGTCCGTGAAATGATACAGCACTGATTATTTGTGTTCGTTTCGAAAACCCCAAGTGTATTGGACGTAATGTGGCGATTCTATTTTTCTTTCGAAAAGTTTATTTCTTTGCTACAAATATAAGATGTTACACAAGAGTTGTCCACAGAAACCTGTTTAGATTCCATGTAAAGTATTCATCACTTTAACCGACACCTGAGTAGATTTACTGCTTTATTGAAAATCTCCAACGTAAAATTTTAAAATAATCTAATACTGTAAGAGCTTATAGGTCACAAGGGGTCAGATAAATATCACCTCCATATAAGGTGTTCATTTTTCTTTGTAAATAATACAGGATAACCGTTCATGCGAGCTGTCTAAGGCATGTACTGTCTTCGCTCGCTTGGAAGCCGGGATCGTGGGTTCGAATCCCACTCAGGGCATAGAAGTTTGTGTGCTTTTTTCTGTGTTTGTCTACAGGTAGAGACCTTGCGACGAGCTGATCACCCGCCCAAGGAGTCCTACCGAATGTGTAAGATCTAGAAAAACCGAAGTGAACGGAGAAGTTCATGGAGGTAGGCCTAGGCCCACTGGGGCTGTAGTGCCAAGGGGGAAAAAAAACCGTTCATGCACGGAACGGTCATGTTTTGTCAGTTTGTGTTGTCGTAAACCTATCTGTAAGCTGTTATATTACTTTACTACTGTAACGTTATACTAATAGAATATTCTGCTAATGAATGTTTGTGAATTTATGGGCAAATCAAATTTAAATTGAGCGCAATGGGTTACAAAAACAATCAGCTCCTTTTTATAATGCTGAAAGCAGTGCCTTAAAATGACTAGTCCAGAAGGGACGCGTTAAGGCTATAAATGTCTTGTTTCACTTTGGTTTTGTACTTTCACTGTCGAGGTGACCCGATAGTAAATTGTAATAAAATATGTTTGTATTTCTTGGAGCTTCCCTCTTTAAACACTTAAATTATAATAAAACTAGCAAGAATTCAGTCAAATGGATCCTGAATCTCAAACCGGATGAGTTTATTATAACAGCTTCTACAGGCTATCTATATACACAATTTATAATCACAAATTTCTGGCCCGATATATGTCAATAAACGTTTTTTAGGTTTTGTTTGGGCGGCGCCATAGCTCAAGCTGTTAGTCGCTGGCTTCCCACCGCGGCGGCCCGGGTTCGAGCCCGGGCCAAGTCATGTGGGATTTGTGGTGGACAAAGTGGCCAATCTTCATTCCACCAATTGCTCCACAATCACCCTCGCCTATCATCTGGGGCTGGTACAATAGGCCAGAAGTGGCCGCAGTAAAGGGACTTAGGCCCACCCCACTAGCAATGAATGAATGAATGAATAGGTTTTATTTTTAAAGCACTCAAGAGCTTCTAAGATGACTGTGTTACGGCAGGTTTCCGATCTCCTAAATTTTCTTCTTTCAGGACGCTGTCACTACCCAGAATTCCTTGTGTTGGTTTTCTATTTGTGAATAATTGTTAATATTCAATATCCAGCTTATCTATAATTATAATTACGTAAGAGCGTTATATTTTTGCACGTTCTGGCACTGTATTTCCGAGACTAAAATCTATCGCTGGAATTATATTTGGTACAATTACCATACACTCTAATTCCTTTCGTGAAATTTCATCACAAAAATATTTTTGCTAAATCTGACAAATATAATGAAAACTGACAAGATATTTTAAATTAATCGTGTTTAAAATTCATACAATGAATTATATCTTCTTTGGTTTTTCAGCATGCTTGGAACTTTGAAGTTTCAGTATTATCCCAACTACTTGTAATTTTATAAAACTTCTGCCTAATTACTACTTTCTGTCTAGTACAGGCTTAATTAATAATTAAATGTGTGTGAGAATATATGTGATTGGTATATTCTTATACACTTACTTTTATAGAATATCCAAGCACATTTTATGGTTAAAAATATGTCACATGTGACTTCAAGTTCCTTCAAGTTCCGGTACAACTGTCCTCTTTATCTTGAAATATGAAGCACGTTTTGTCAGGCTACAAAGAGAGAACACACGTGACTTGTCTAAGCCTGATAATATTCCCCCTCTTATAGAATCTTCTAGCCTGCTTTATGAGTCACAAAATATAAGCACACGTGACTTTTTTTAATTATTTTCTTGTCTAGAACTTCAAAGCATATTTTATGAGTCATAAAGGAGAAAGCGCCCGTAACTTTTACAATATTTCTCAGTTTCTTGTAGCCTGAGCTTTTCAGAACCTTATTTTAAAACTCTGTGTGCTAAACCACCAAGCCCCTTACTCCCACTCAGAGTCTTAGCACCAATGTGAGAAGAATACTCTCGCAGAAATCCTTCGGATATCGTAAATATCAACTAGTACACATAACAATGAAAGTGAAAACTTAATTCTTTCCTGAGATTTTCTCACAATGTCTTAATAACTCGATGATTCACAAAGGTTCNTAAAAAAAAAACAATATTATAAAATAAAAGAACCTTCTATATATATATATACACATAACACGGTCAGTGAGACAGAAAATTAAATTTACGTCACAGAGTATAGATACGTGTCTGCACCATAGAGGCTTACGTAGAACTCATCAGTGCCTACATCACTTTGATGCATCCATGCTTGATGTTGTCTGAGGACATCCGTAAGTCTCATATTTGCATCCGAATTCTCATAGAAGTGTTGACCTAGGCAGGGAGCCTCTTCTAGTGCATCTTGTTACATAGACTGGAGGCTTGTCTGAACTTTCAGCTCCTCTACCGATGTAAGCCAGACATGTATGGAATAACAAACTGGACTAAGCTTAAAGTTAGGCCGCGGCATAGCTCAAGCGGTTAGTCGCTGGCTTCGCACCGCGGCGGCCCGGGTTCGATCTCGGGTCTGGTCAAGTGTGATTTGTGGTGGACAAAGTGGCGCTGGGGCAGGTTTTCTCCGAGTACTCCGGTTTTCCCTGCCAATTTTCATTCCACCAATTGCTCCACAATCACCCTCACCTACCATCTGAGGCTGGTACAATAGGCCAGAAGTGGCCGCAGTACAAGGGACTTAGTCCTACCCCACTAGGAATAAAAAAAAAGCTTAAAGTTGTCCAGCATCCTGAGAGTTCCGTTCCAGTGCAATGTCGGGCTGACACGGAGAGAGCAAGAAATGAAATTAGCAAACTGCCGTGCGCTGCCGATGTGGCTGGAATCAACGTCTATTGAGTGGAGATTCGCTTATGTTTTTTCCTCTTCGTGAGCGGTTCCCCACCGTACCACCTTTCTCAGCACTCTTCTCTCCGTCGCAGTTCCTTCATGTAGGCCGTGAGCTCGTCCTCGAGGGCGCCGTGCTCAACATCCCGCAGACTGCTGTTGCTGACGTTGTTGCTGCTCGAAGCGAGGCTATGCACACTGCCGCTCCCACAAACCGCTAGCATGTCGAACATCTCCGGTGGCACGCTGTACTGATTGGGCGTCGGCGACCGCATTGAGTAAGAGGTAGATAACTTTTTGTTTTCTTCCACGAAATTTGTTGACGATGTTATGCTTCGTAAAACGTCCCAACTGCTCTTCTTTTTCTCTTTCTCCCCGTTCCGCTTTTCCTTCCGCTTAATTTTCAGATTGCTCTTTCTGAGTTGCTTCGTCAGAATAGGTTTCTGGCTAACCTGTGACGCGCTAATGATCACTGAGAAGGACCGTCTGTGGTTAGGATCGGCATTGATACGGCCGTTCGGTGAGGTGACCCAGTTGGAGTCCTGACCTCGACTGTCTGTCAGGAAGCTGCTGTCTTGCTTCCTGAAGCACCTTCTGGTTCCTGAGAAGTCTTTCACACTGGATCCACCGCTTCCTGGTCCACCAGGGAGCACCTCCTCCCGCACCGAGTTGCCCGAGTAGTCAGTGCTCTCCTGACCCGCATTGCTTGCCCCCAGGGAGCCTCGCTGGGCAGATCTGGAGAGGACTGAGTATGATCTGCGTGCCCCGTGGCCCTTGATCCCCCGGAACCGGCAGCAACGGGCAAGGGTGTCCTGAAAAAGAAAGACTGATTTTATTTTAATCAGGATACGTTCTTGATACACTAGTCTTGTATTCAAATGAAACAAGTGAAATACTAAAAGTAAGAACTTTCAGAACACAGTACACAAGGGCAACAATTTGAATGTATATAAGGTATTTTCTTGTAATATGCATACGGCATCTCACTTCAATGTCCCTTCCCCAAATATAAGCAGCATCCCAATGGCGATGAATGCAAATGAAGAATTATATTTTTGTATATACTGAATGTGGAATTTGCCGGTCATGGTAGCCGAGCGGTCTAAGGCATGTACTGTCTCCGCTCGCTTGGAAACCGGGATCGTGGGTTCGAATCCCACTCAGGGCATGGATGTTTAGTTTGTATATGTGCGTTTTTCTGTGTTTGTGTACAGGTAGAGGCCTTGCGACGAGCTGATCACCCGCCCAAGGAGTCCTACCGAATGTGTAAGATCTAGAAAAACCGAAGTGAACGGAGAAGTTCATGGAGGTAGGCCTAGGCTCACTGGGGCTGTAGTGCAAAGGGGGGGGGGGAATGTGGAATTTACAGCAGGATAGCATACATTATTGTTGGGCCGGGTGTAGCGACTGGCTTCTGGTTGGACGACTGAGGGATCGGAGTCCGAGTACCGGTGGCCGCAAAAATTTTCACTTCTCCATATCGTCCAGACCGAATCTGGGGTTCACCAAACCTCCTACCAAATGGGTATCGGGGGCTCTTCCCCGGGGGGAAAGCGGCTGAGGGGTGAAGATGACCACTCACCTCCAACTAGTCCCGAGGTCAAGAAAACTTGGGTCTATACATCCACTCCCCCATACGCCTTCACGGTGTAGTGCTTAATTAGTTAAGTACAGGGGCAGCTTTATTTCATCTTCACCTAGCATACATTATTGTTATTGGTTAGAAGAGCTGTTTAACAAATAATTTTCCACTTTGGTGTCTGATAATGGACAGAGAAGAATAATTCTTCAATATTTAATAGATATTGCTCAGTTGTACTTTAAATGCAAAAATCCTAACAAATCTGTCTTTAACCATGACTGCAACAATTATCTTAGTCTTCTCATTCATTCGTAGCTAACAGAAATGTGTGGCTGACAGTACTTCAAACATAAAAATAATCTAATTAAAAATATCAGGATGATGGGCAAGCCTAAGGAATTTCATTGTTCAGAATTCACATCAACCATTAAGTTTTTCAAGATTATTATATTGCATTGTTATTGAATTTTTTAATATTACGTATCGCCCTTTTTCTTATACAAAACGCGGCTTCAGACCCTTGGCTCAGTTGTTTTACATAAAACCGGGACCAAGGATAACGTCTGAAAATTCCATAATTGCGATAGTAGAGCATCGTCTTGGACTTTCAAATCTGCTTTCTTGTTCTGCACCACAGTCTACGAGAATATTCGCCATTAAACATTCAATGTAGCTGATCACAGTGGCCGTGCCGTCTAAACCATGAAATGTCTTCACCCGCTCGAACGCTGGGATCGCGGGTTCGAATCCCACTCAAGGCATGGATGTCTGTTTGTGTTTATACTGTGTTTGTGATAGGTAGCGGCCTTGTGATGGACTGATACTCCGTCCAGGGCGTCCTACCGACTGTCTTACATTAAGAAACTGAAGTGAAACTAGCGTTTCACGGATACTCCATGTTTCAAGTAGGAGCAAGAGGAAGAAAAGAAGACATTCAACATAATTGAAACATGTCAGTTGAGGGGAATTTTATGCTAAAAATTACAAGAAAGCAAGTAATGTCAAGGAAGGTAAAACGTGGAACATGTTAACAGAAATGGAGCAGTAATTTTTTTAAGTATACAACAGAGATGAGAATATTGTCAATATGTAGGAATTCTTCGTGAGATGTTCGGATGGAAGAAGTGCATATTATAACCAAGCAAATGGACTGCTAGTGCGGAGGTCAAGAAAATTTGGATCTATACATCCACTCCGTCATACGCCTTCATGATGTTGTGCTTAATTAATTAAGCAAAAGGACAACTTTACCTTCATTACCTTGATCCTCATACGTGGTAAAGTGGATGACCGAATTTCGATTCCCTGTTAGGACTTTTCTTTGTGCCACTATATGTAGAAAGGTTTTGAAACATAAAGTTCTATCCTATGAGAACCTGGGGCTCTCCTGTGGACACATAGCTGCCAGATAATTAAAATAACAACTTCCCTCAAGCTAGCAAATAGGAAATGTAAGCGTTGGGCTTCAGATCACGTAGCTAATTTGGAGGATTATGAGACAAGAAAATGTTTCGAAGCTTTTTATTTAAAAGCGATAGAACAACCTAGTAAAATAAATGAAAGTAACGATGTGATATCATGAAACCGAAGGACTGTCATGGCCGTAATATAAACGCCCACCATCGGCTCTTTCTTCAGTCCATTAAGCACAAACCATTACTCGGATATTTGCTTTCTTGCGACCTCGTAAAATTCATCCTCTAATCCCAAGAAACCTCTTCATACTCGCACGATATGATCCCATAATATTTTTATGTCCTTTAATTTTTCTGTAGTTCATTCATTGTAACCTATGCCTATCATCTCTATCTCCTTGCATGAAACAATTAAAATATTTCAGTAAAATAAAATAGATACATTTATGGTCTTATCAGTATATTAATTCTCCTGAAAAGCTTCGAAATGTGGTGTTGGAGAAGGATGGAGAAGATCAGTTGGACCGATTATGTGAGAAATGAAGAAGCGTTAATTAGGGTCAGTGAGCAGAGGAATATCCTACACGAAATAAGAAAACGGAAGGCTAATTGGATTGGTCATGTTTTACGTAGAAACTGCCTTCTAAAAGAAGTTATTGAAGGAAAGATAGAGGGGAGGATAGAAGTGACAAGAAGACGAGGAAGAAGACGTAAGAAGATGCTGGATGACCTTGGGGACAGAAGAGGATATTTTTATTTGAAGGAGAAAGCTCTGGACCGCATTAAGTGGAGGAACTGTTTTGGAAGAGACTGTGGACCTGTCGTCTTGACAGATTACAGATGAATGAATGAATGAATGAATGATTTCCAATACATATATTCTCCCTCGTTTATCTTTTATAATGTTTCAAGCGTAAGTATTTAATCTATATCATAACTCTCAATTCTGTGAACACAAATTACGGGGGAGGCTTAATTTGAACGCTCTACACTTAATTCGATGTCAAGATTGAGGTGTATAGATCCGTTGCTAGGCGACGATCTCGAAACAGACAACGAGACAACAACCGCTACTATGCAACGGTGCGGTAATCATGCCTCTACAACAACCGAGCTACTGTTGGAAATGACGTTTTCTACTCGGTCCGTGCAAATGAGTTATAAGAACTAAAATTGGGGCGACCCAGATCAGTCCAGTGCTGTTCTGCACGGAAGGCTGTAAAAAAAAAAGAACCTGAGCGTTGGAAGCTGAAGAATCTCCACTGTTAGAAGCCGTTACTAGGGAACGGCTGATGAAGATATAACAGGCTGCAGAAAGGATCAGCGTGTGCTGTAGTGATTTGTAAAGAGTGGAGATTAGTGACTTGTATTTCTGAGTGGTGTGTGTAAGTAGTCAACAACTCCATTCATGAATTCAAACCCCTCCTATAGACACACACCCTTAGATCGTGACAATATGAAAGAATACGAATCAGTCAGTCAGGTGCCAGTCTTATGCTTATTAAGCATCGTATTTCTTCTTGTGTCTTTTGTGTGATTGTGGCTGAATTTAAATACAAAAGAAGAAAAAAGCATGGAAACCCGTATGCAATAGTTTACAAATTAAAAAAAAAAAAGGAATACGTACGAATCTGGAAAGTGTCTAAAGCAGAGGATAAACATCTGATTTGGCTCCAGAAACGGGGGGCAAGGCCTGCAGGAATTAAGGGGAGCGAGAAGGGCTCTTACAGAAAACAACCCGGTTCCTTCCTGCCCTTTCAGTACACCCGAGAACACAAAAGACGACAAGAGACAGTTAGTAGTCTTGAAGACATCGATCGGCGTGTGGGGCGAAGGACAGTTAATTAATTTCATGCTATACAAAGGGAGTTGACTCTCACAAAAAGATTATGTGAAGGGAATAAGGACAAAAGAAACTACATAGGAAGTGCAAAGAGTTTGAGGTCCATTTTGAAGGGCCTGGGTCTTATGTGAAAGAAGACATTTAACAATCGAAAGACTGAAATGGGAAAACACGAGATTAGAAGCAGAAGCATGTAAACTCGATTAGACCTTGTCAAGAAAAGAAGCAGATAAGTTGCTTTACTGATTGAATGGCGCACTTTGCCGACAACAGAAAGAACAAGTCATGAAGTGATGAGATTAACGGAGGACCCAGCGTTCACAAAGCAAAAGCCAATCGCTTAAGGATTATGAATTCTAGCAGTGAGATGGCTATTATTACTAATTTTTATTCATCGAAACAAGGGGTCAAGCTTGATCTAACGAATATTGGAAATTACAGGAAAGATAAATTGGATCCCAGTCTTCTTCAGCACTCAGTTCTTGTTATCGTCAGGGGGTCACAAACAACAAAATTTGAAAAACACCAGCAGCAAATTCAGGAAATGGAATTTGGAAGAACTGACTGCAGGCCTGTGGCATTACTTTCTTTTTACATGCAAAAGCCACATGTGTACGGACTGATTATGGTTCGCAGACTATGACACGAACGCTATCTGTTGGACGAGTTTCTTTATCAGCGTCATGACCATCAGGAGGTGCTCCGACTTCCACTGTTAACACCCGCATTAGAATAATAATAGGATACGGAACATTGAAATTACCCAAAGTCATTGAAATTTGAGAGGATAAAACTGCTACTGTGTCTGAAGAAGACTGGGAATATTTACGCAAGAAGTTGAAATGAAAATAAAGCAGAGCGCGTTTGAGGTGAAACAAGAGCGAAATACACGTAAGCCATTCCCTTGGAGATTGGTAATTAGTGCAGTTTCTTCACCTGACTGATAAATTACTCGTTTTTACTTTAATTAATTTTAACATTGTTCTCGAATATTTGAATGTCTGATTATGCTAAATAATTTTGTGAAATGTTGCACATAATAGATAACTTTATTTTTCATTTGGGAATATTAGTAATAAAGAAAAATAATGGGCTCATAAAATTAAAGCAACAAAGTTGGGTTTTGGTGTCTGGAGTAAGGCATGACATTTTCAGATTAAAGAGCATTAGTCTCACGAATACCTGAACAGGCTAAGGTCAGACCATAGTTGGCCGCGCCATAGCTCAAGCGGTTAGTCGCTGGCTTCCCATCGCGGCGGCCCGGGTTCGAACCCGGGTCTGGTCAAGTGGGATTTGTGTTGGACAAAATGGCGCTGGGGCTTGTTTTCTCCGAGTACTTGGGATTCCCCTGCCAATCTTCGTTCCACCACTTGCTCCACAATCACCCTCACCTATCATCTGGGGCTGGTACAATAGGCCAGAAGTGGCCGCAGTTCAAGGGACTTAGTCCCACCCCACTAGCAATAAAAAAAAAGTTCAGACCATGCCTGTAACTGTACCTAAATAAATAATTTAACGTTAAAATGACGCTAAATGTCGTTGTTTTGCAGAAAGTACTTGGAGTTGTCCTGCTACAATGTGCTTACCTTGAACGCCTCGCGGAACTTGAGCGACATGGTGTGGTAGAGTATAGGGTTGATGGTGGTGGACACGTAGTACAATATGCCCGAGATGTACGTCATGATCTCGTAGATCCTGAGCATGACCGGCGCCTGCTGCTGCACCCCGTAGATCGCGAAGAGGCGCTGTGCATGGAACGGCGCCCAACAGATGAAGAAGGCGACAACCACAGCAACTGTAACCATAACAACGCAATGACACTGACAGTTTCAATATGAACGAGGTCAATGGCGGGTTATGGGCCAAGCGGCAGTGTGTCACATAGTTCAGTCTTTTGGATACAAATTATTTCCATGTTCTACGTCCTGGTGGTGGGGATATCAGACTGCGCATACTCTAATCTGACGTTAAAAAATAAACAACGTAGTAGTAGAAAATTAATTACACTAGTGTTTAATAATTTCAAATTAATCGAATAAATTCCTCACCTGAAACTAGACGCGAAAGATTTTAAAGAACTCGTTTTTGCCTAATGAATTAGAGGCGTCTAAGAATTCATAACGTTAATAACTTTCGTTATTATTATTACTTATGCTAATGATGCTAATACTAAGACCACTACCACTATAATTACGCGGTTCAGGATGAAATTAAGAGGAGATTGAACTCGGGTAATGCTTGCTGCCATTCAGTCCAGAACCTTTAGTCTTCTCGTCTGCTGTCCAAAAACATAAAAATTAGAATATACAAAATTATAATCTTGCCTGTTGTTCTGTATGGGTGTGAAACTTGGTCTCTGACATTAAGGAGGGACATAGACTGAGGGTGTTTGAGAATAGGGTGTTGAGGAGAATATTTGGCCAGAAGAGAGATGAAGTGAGAGGAGGTTGGAGAAAACTGCATAATGAGGAGCTTCATAACTTATACTCTTCTCCAAGTATATTTAGAATTATCAAAGTCAAGGACAATGAGATTGGCAGGGCATGAAGCACGAATTTGGAGAGAGGAACGCATATAGGATACTGGTGGGAAAGCCAGAAGGATAGGACCGCTGGGAAGACCAAGGTGTATGTGGGTGGATAATATTAAAATGGACCTTAGAAAGATGGTATGGTATGGTATGGACTGGATTGAGATGGCTCAGGATACTGACCAATGATACTGACTTGTGAACACGGTAATAAACCTTCGTGTTTCATAAAATGCTGGGAATTTCTTGAGTAGCTGCACAATTGGCGGCTTCTCAAGAAAGGCTCAGCTCTATGAATGACTGTGTGAGAGAGCATTTCTAGTAGGACCGATCATAGAGACCACGAGGTCTATGGCAGGAACTGTCTTCGCTCTCTCGAACATTGGGATCGTGGGTTCGAATCCCATTCAAGCCATGGATGTCTGTGTGTGCGTCTCTTCTGTGTTTGTCTTGTCTTGTGTGTAGGTAGCGGCGTTGCGACGGACTGATCCCCCGTCCAAGGGGTTCTACCGTCTGTGTAGAAAAGATTACGAAACTGAAGACGAGGCCAGAGCCCACCAAATCAGAGAATCGATGAATAGTAAAACAGTAAGGCGACCTGATGTGAGCCTGGCGACCTTCAGTTTCAGGCAGGTAAATAGGTATTTAGAATATCTATTCTTCATCACATCGAGACGGGTTCTTGAGAAGGGAACATAATCTTGCATCCGAATGAAACCGCGGATCTTCCTACCAGAGTCGAGTGGCCACACTGCGAAACTGACTCTTCACTTGCCTGCTTTTTGGTCACATTGTTTATTAACTAGAATTGTAACCGTCCAGACCTGTTACAGTTCTCCGTGGACGCTATGGCCCTCTTTAGCCATTTCGGAAGGTGACTGGTTTATTGGCACGTTATGACTTGTTTTTCGTATCTTGACAGAAAACAACTGCCTTGTTTTTGTTTACATGCAGTTTGGATGACCGGAAGGGGACAAGGTCACCACGGGAGGCAAGTTTAGTTTTCTGAAGATGTGAATTTTATTTTGTTGACATGTGTAGCCGTCATAAAGTGTCTTCGGAAGGGTGTAGCTGGCCCCTAAACTAAAGAAACTAACCGCTCTCACATGCGGGGTTCCGAGTTCTGTATCTTGGGAACTGTTTTATTCTCAAAGTTGGTTATGCGATTGGCTTGTGCCGTCTGCACGATGAATTTGGCTAGTTAAAATCAGCCAACAGGAAATGAATTCTTGTCTGAGAGAGAGGCCGTCGATTCAAATCCTTCTTGGAGGACGAAGCGACGCTCCCGCAGGATACCAGTCTTCAGAAACTTGGCGTTTTGAATTGGCTGGAGGCAGACATCATTGAACTGCACTCCTCATGTTTCCATAAATTCATTAGCCATTTGCTTGGATCGTTAAATCTGATAATAATAAAGGGCCACATTACTCCGTGCCTGCAGATGAAGTTATAATATTTCGCTTCTGAATAAATAAACAGTTTGTGGGCAGCGGAAGTTGTGGTGTTGATTCCGAGCAGTGGCCTGGCTTCGAGTGTGCAGTTTCCGGTTGCCTCAGTTATTGCCTTAACACGATCCTGATAGGAGTCGAGTGGCCTACCGAAGCCGGCATGTAGGTACAAAGATAAAAAGTGGGGACGGTAACAGTTCCGTCGTTGGTTGAGGCACTATGCTACAAGACGGAAGGTCGCGGGTTCGAGTCCCGATGAGGTCATTGGTTTCTTTCAATTGACCTAATCCTTTCAGCCGCACTATGGCCCTGGGGTCGACTCAGCCTCTAACAGAAATGAGTACCAGGAATTAATAAAATATTTTTCCTGGGAAGTAAAGCGCGGCCGGCGCGTAAGGCTGACAACCTTACCGCCATCTTTGAGCCGATTGTCTAGATAATGTGGGACCCTCAATGTCTCACAACCCTATGGGCCTGCATGGCCTATTACAGGGATAGCTTTACTTTACTTTTAAGTATGTATATGTTTAAATGTTTTCTGTGGTTCTGCAAGGCTATGTATCTTTTAAATAATAACAGAACATATAAGAACCACCAAGTATACGTTGCACATTTCTACTAAGTAACATATATCTCTGAAATTCCGTCTTACATACAACATTCCTTTAAAATTTTCTTTAAAAGTTACTACATATACACAATGAGTGTTTTAAATCTATTTAAAATGTTACATCGTGGAGTACATGTTTTGACCATTGGTCATCATGAAGTTACTAAAACTGTTTGTGGAGACTGCTGTGCTTTCATATCGCGCGTCTAATATTCAGTGTGTAATCCCATAACAAATTCATGTTTTTCGCAGTGGTGGGTGTTTCCTCCTGCTGTGCTGTGTGTTTCAACCACAAGAATATCACTGAAAGAATATTAGCTCAGGAGAAACGTAACGACCATAATTTAACAGCTAGTCTGTGGTGAGAGAAAGCTGACGTCACACAATTAGGAGGGTGTATATACATATTGTTTGTGCCATGGAAGTCCACAAACAGGTTGGTGCATCGGAAAGACCTACAGAAGTCGCTTTCGAAGTTGCTTCCTTCACGAAGTCACTCCTAAACTGACTTGCCTTGAAGGTCTGAACTGCCATCTTACAATGTTTATTTAATTAAACAATTAAATTTTATACGGTACCGAGTTAATTGTCCCGAAATTTGTTATACTAATATGTTATACTAATATACTAACATGTCACACTGCTCCCTCCTTAAGGTTATTCGTCCCGAATAGCCTAACGGTGCATCCCCGTTCCTTTTCTTGGGAGGCTGTTCTCGCAGCATCTGTTCTCCGGCCGTTACAGTACTTACTTCGTAGAGCAGACAACTCATTGAAAAGCTTACAGTTGCTGTTTTAGTCAAGGTCATCCCCTCAATTTGTTTTACGCGAAAGTTAATTTCCATGTTCACAAGAACGTTCTTCAGCCAGAACAATCGAGCTCTCACATATGTACCCTATTTCTTTATTGATATATTACAATATTACACTCAAATTTCCTCTCTTCCTCGTCACTTTAGTTCCAAAAGCCCTCAATGCTCTTTCTTCCCTCAGGATGAGAGATAAAATTCAGACTCATATAAAAATCAGATCTAGCAACCGCGATATCCCTCGGTGACGTCACCGCTGTTGATTCGCTTTGCATAGCTTCAAGGTCGCGGGGACTCGGCTAACGTCGGCTCCGCTCGGCTCCCTTCGGCTCCGCTCGTGACGTCACCGCGCGTTGCGCTTTGCATAGCTACCAGGATGCGGGGTGATTACTCGCCTATTACGCGAGCGCTACGTTACCGCTACGTGCAGCTGGGGAGGTAGGGGTCAACATGTCACACCCCTACCGCCGGGGAGGTAGGGGTCACATGTCACAATATTTTAACTTTAATTTTTGATAGGACAGGAGATGGCATAATACTCGAACTAAGTGGTATGAAGAATTCCCCAAAATATATTTCTCCTTGACCTCTTCATCAAGGCAGTTTTCAACTGTTAATTTCATCCCAGTTATTAGAACCTCGTTGCAGGTTCGACGAGTTTATTACATATTCATGTACATAATATTCTCTGCATTTTGGGGAGGAGGCATGAAGTTACATGGATATTGATATATTTTGGTTCACTTTAGCTCAGCCTCATTGCTAACGTCTCATCGAATTTATATTTTTCCTTCAGGTATTTATGTTTTCCCAAATTGCCACATAAATTTGAGTTAATTCATCTGCCATTTAAATTAAGGAACCAAACTGGCATGTAAAATTTAAATGGGCATGGAGAAACCATAAACGCACCTCTCCTTATGCAGCAGAGGGAGATGCATATCCATCCGTGTACAGGTACCAATGTTACGGGACCGAAATCAGTTCATCATTTGGGGCACGCGGCAGCGTGAGGCATTATGCTACAAGCAGGAAAGTCAAGGGTTGATTCCCGATCAGGTCATTGGATATTTCAATTGACTTACTTCTTACAGCTGCACAATGGCCCTGGGGTCGACTAAGCCTCTAGCAGAAATGAGTACCAGGAATCTTCCTGGGGGTAAAGGGCGGCCGGCGCGTAAGACTGGCAACCTCGCCGTCATACATGGTGTGTCCAGGATCCGTTAGGACTCTTTTATTTTATTTTGCCTTGCAATCTCATCTATTGGCGAGTTGTGGCGTTAAGATTCTTGAAGTTTCAGCTGTGGCTGTCTATAATTTCAAAGCGCAAGTATTGCTGCATCATGTATTCTGACCTTGAATATAACAGGACTGTTCTGATGCTCGTCGGGAAATGACG